TTTCAAAAAGGTGAAAATTTACAGGCTATAGCACAACCACCAAACTCAATGATAAATCACACACAAAAAAAATTTACACTGCCTAGTATAAAACATTAACAAGGACTTATGAACAAAATGGAAGAGCCATGCTTGTTTATACTGTTACTCCTCTGCTGTAAGTATTTTAGACTCTTGCCTAATATAGTATCATTTTAGATAAATATGTTAATAGACAAATGTGACAGAAGAGTGATAAATGGATCCCTCTATTTAAGAAAGTAAGAATTTAGAAACCTTTGAAATCAATCCATTATCTAATTATATTGGTTTTTCTAGCTAGTCCTTAACAAAATTAACATAACTTCAGAGTACCTATGTAGCTGACAGTATTCCTGGCTTCTGAAATCCCCCAAGAGAAATTGATTTAATAGACAAGTATTGCAGCTGTCAGTAGAATCCTATAGACAGATGACTTAATTAAAAAAAAAAAAAAAAAACTTACCCCTATAAAAACATGAACAAGTTTTAATTTACAGAACAAGTTTTTGAATGTTTTACTCTGGTTAACGTACTTTCTTCCTTTGTAAATGCTCTTTGCATTTTTTGTTTTTTGATTTTGCAATGCTTGGTAGAATCCAAGGCTTGCACATGCTAGGCAAGTATTCCATAACTGAGCTACATCCCACCCCTGAATTTCCAAATTCTTAATGCAAAGTAATGCATACATATTATACATCACACCTGGCACATAGTAGCTGTTAACACATATTTCTGAAACCAAATTAACCTATTAGTATTCCTAAATGGGTTGACATCTGGGGAACTCCTTTGACTTACAATGGATTGAAGGGCAATCTTTTTCACTGCACTCTAGCATTCATTTTTTAACTGGATCCACAGGGTTCATGTTCATATTTATGTTTCTAATGCTAGCATTATAAACAATAACAGGGATGTTGCATGGAACAATATTATCACAGTAAATAAGCTTTATTCTACATCTATCATACACTATCTCAAGTACAAGAATTCTGTAAAATTTAAACACTGGTTATGTATTAGGATTTAAACAATCAGAACTGAGTTATAACCAAATCACAAAACATTGAATAGTAAAATTATAATCCAACCACAATAAAATAAAACATTAACATAATTCTTATTAACACTTCTTATAGTAAGTATATTTTATACTAAGGTATAATGGTAACCAGTTTTTTCCAAATATCATCATAGAGCTAAAACTATGGTTGTTATTATTATAAAGCAATGTACTTTCAATGTATAAGGTTTAAAAAATACTCATGCATCTCATTTCCATTTTTCCTATGATCTTTTATGCTAGAGAAATGCATGCAGGTGAACAGAGTCTGGACAGTCACCTTGCTCTCTCTAATATCATTAAATAATAGCTATCAGAACCACTGAGCAAGGGATGTTGGTAGGGATTCTCAAAAAAGCTTTTCTTTCATGAGAGAAGATGCAAGTTATTTACACTGTACTGACATCACCATTCTAGAAAATAAGGGCTGGGCATGCAGTTCAATGGTAGAGGTATGCCTACCATGTGTGAGGCCCTGAGTTCAATCACCAGCACCACAAAAACAGACAAATAAATAAATTGATTAATTAAATATTTTTTTTCTTATCATGGAAATGCCAAGATTTCTCTTAATCTTCTCAATCTGTAATTTAGCTTTACTATATTCATTTTCATCATATCTTGTCTCCACAAAGTGATCACCCAATGAACAAGAGTAGATTTTGAATCAAGAATGCTGACCTTTAAATGCCCTCACTCGCTAAATTATTCTACTGCATTGCACTCTTTAAGGAACTTCCTAACAAGTTTATTAAGTCCTTTTCTACCTTATCTTGTTGGTCCTGAGATTAGGTTATAAATGTACTAAAACCAAATGTAAAGTTCTTCCTTCATAAAGTAATATCTACCATCACACCTCCCTTTACACACACATCAAAATACATACACAGAACACATTGCTGTTCATTTTATTCAATCTGTTGCATGGCCTCTCTGATGATCCTACTTGTGAAATGAACTAAAAATACTCTACAGATAAAATAAATCAAGAAAGAAACTGATATAGAGTTCAGGTCATATCTTCCTCAAATTTCACTAAATTAATACAAATGCATGTACTAATATAATAAATATTTTGATATAGTTGGTATATTAAAATGAACAATTATTAGAATTTTAATCTTCAAGACAATACTGTTTCATCTCTACTATCATTCTCACTTCCTCAGTCCAGAAACAGATAATAATTAGACTTGGGGATATAATAAAAAACATTTTTATGAGGCATCATGAAATCTCAAGAAATACCAAGAAACTTTAACAGAACAACTTGGCTAAAGACGGGAACTTTTTTGATTCTCAGTTTACTGCAGGTCAAATGACAGTCATAAATATAATGTTCATGCAAAGGCAAAAGTCACTAAGCAAGGACATATTTCAAAAACACACCAGTATCAAAATTTTTCTTCCTATGAAAATATTCTTTTTTCCCTTTTGGTATAGCAATATAGTTACTATCAAAGATAAGATTTGCTTAGAAAAACAGAATCTAGCATTATTCCTAAAGAAATAGCAGTTCTGAAAAAAGTATTATAATAAAACAAGTCTATCTGCAAAACATGTTTTCTTACAGAAAAGAAGCTCTTTCAATATTAAAGACAAACAAAAAAAGTCTTTTAAAATTGAAATTACAAAAAATTATTGGTATGTACAAAATAAAACTTAATCAGTCTTACATAGTAACAGTACATAAAATACAGAGCATCAACCATCTTAAAGGTTCATTTTTAAAAAATTATTATTTTACATTTCAGTGTGCATACTACACAGGAACTTTCATATCGTTAATCCATACCATAAAATATCAGAGATTATCATTCTGACTTTACCAATGAGAAAACAAATTCAGAAAAGGGGAAGCAGCTTGCCTAAAATCCTGCACTTTACAACTACTCAGCTCATGACTGTATTATCTCTCCCACCAAATTTCATGATCTTTCAATACCACACTGGATCCTTTTTTTTTTTTTTTAAATGAATTAATGTCCCCAAATTTCCTTAAAAAATCATTCCCTCATACACTTTTCCAGCTCAGGACAACTACTACGTGTTATGAACTAATAATGCAACCAGGGGGTGACCAAGGAAACAAAAGATAATACAGTCTGTCCAGACAATCTGATTTGACTGGATTTGTTCATGAACTTTTAGTATTAGCTATATATTCCCCAGACAATAAAACACTGAAGCTGAAATGACATATAGGAGGATTTGTTTAGTCTTCATTCAAGTCACTGTGCAAGGGCTACTACCCCTTCAGATGTCAGCTTCACCAAACCTCCCAATGTGGCTTCCACAATTAAAAAGCTTTAAACAAACTGTTACCCTCTGTTCTTTATAATGGGTGACCAATTACTTTTAAAAATAACCATTAAAAATATCAATTAAAATAATTAAAACATCTAAAAATACAACACTTTACTTAAATGAAACCTATGAGGCACATCGGAGCATGCCCTCTTGTGAAACAAGCAGAAGATGTACCTGCTTCTCTGAAAGTTTATATAGGCTTTCCATACCCCAATACTTCTATGTTAAAACTTGACAGAAAAATTGTCAAGTTGAGGGCCTCCTGCTTAAAATAAATAAATTTTCAATGTAAAATTTGCAAACCACTAATGTCATATATCTTTAGCAATTTTTGAAATGTTAGGACTACTCTTAAACAAACAGAAACTAAAAGGTAGCTATGTTTCTAAATATCTGATCAACATGCTAAATCTTTAATCTACCTGGCTTAGGGGAGAAAATAAACCAAGAGGGAAAAGTACAAAAGCCATGTTAAATGAGTCCTAACCAGTTCAAAATCTGGAATCATTTGAGAAGAGTTTGAGTAACACTTGAATACTTAAATTTTCTATGGACTTTCACGTTTAGAACATAAAATTACTTCCCTAGGAAATTCAAACCCCACATATAATGGCTTTAACTTTCTATTCCTCTACTACTTAAATGTTTTCCATCAGATAAATCCTTTTCTGACCCAGCTACTTTCCTCTCATCAAATCACTAAAGTGCCCAATTACATAAACACAATCATTTCCAAGTTCTTAATTTTCTGAAGACCTCTGAAGGGATTCAAAAAGCCGACACAGTGCCAGAGTTCCACCAAAACTACTTGGGATTTAACATAAAATCCTAACAGATATCTACAAATACTGTTTTTAATTTTATAATCTTTTAAAAGATTCACATTTTGATTCATGAAAGAGAATTTCAACAATAACTTTTGTAGGGAAAAAAATCTATTATTTTCCATGATTAATGTAGCTATTCACAGTAACTTATAAAAGCAGCTGTGTTTTCAAGGGTTTTAGTACGTGTGTTCTAAATTTAAATATAAACTTGAAAATGTACATCTGAAAATCTGTGCTAAAAATTATCATTAGTATTATTATTAGTCTTAATTTTAATGTAAATTAGATCCTACCAAAATATACTATTAAGCCTTTCTACCAAAAAATAATGAGAAGCATCTAATCAAAATAATCATGGCTACAATTTGAACTGCATCATGTTTACATAATTTCCCAAAAAGTCCAAAATAAAAATTATCAAAATAAATACATATACATATAAAATTACACATAATCACACCATATACAACAAAGTAGTACCCTGCTAAATTGTGAAATGGGGTTTTCACAAAACTTTTAATAGAAGTAATGAATTCCAATTATCTCAAAATTAAAATCTTAAGACCAATAACTTTCACCTGTTTTGAACCCCCAAATTTTAAATGTCATGTTTCCAAACACATGTTGCTAACTAACTTACATATATGAACAAATTCGTAATTTAACAACAGCTACTACCACTCACTTAAAATAGTTACATGTCATAAGAAAATGTTACAAAGACAGCATAAATTTCCTCATGAAAAAAGGACACGATTTATTTTACAATAGTCACTCACCACTTCTTCCAATGCAGCACTTCGCCCAAAAGAACAAGTGAGGTGTGTGAGGCAGTTAACAAAGGAGGAGAAAAGTTCATTGGGAATGGCAGTTAAAACATTTCGAGGGAACACAGTTATCAGGTTGCTGATAATGCTGGAGATTCCTACAGCTTCAGAATCTTCTATTTCAATTCTATAAACCAAGTAATGAGGATTATTATTAAGTGGTAGTAGAAGAAAAATTACAACTCATTTCCAAACATGCAAGTATTATCACTTACTCATTTTTAAAAGTATATCTCTGCGTATTAATTCCAAATTAGCCACATGACTTCACTTCAAAATACAAAACGGAGGAAAAAAACCACTACTTTCTTTTTTCCTTCACTCTTAAACACAAGGAAAACTCGGAAAGTTCCCTTTTCAGTTATAAAGGGTAAATATACCTACCCATTGATAGTATTCAGCAATCCCTCAATGAAGTGTGCTAGATAATCAACTTGTGATCCTTCATCTGGGAAGATGGGTCCATGAAGAGAAGCTAACTGGGCAAGGCACTGTAAAGAATCTTGTGCCATATCTGAATCTTCTCTGATTTTTCGATGTACCTGTTAGAAAGAATTACTAATCCATAAAAATAAATTCTTCTTTTGTAAGGGTCACGTGTCTACATGCCGAATGAGGTAAGAGAAAAATTCACTGTAGCTGATTATTTCTAGAAAATTAACTCCTGAATTAAACTAATTTGAAAATTGCCCCTCAGTCCACCTGACATTATAGCCCACGATTTTAAACCTATCAATTAATTTTTAACTGAGGGCTACCTACATTTTGAAAATTGAACCGTCTCCAGCATGTTATGACAAAGAGAGAAACAGATGCCAGCCAGTCAGACATACTGCTTATTCTAAAAACAGCAACAACGACAGTCATCTGTATTATGCTAACTATGTCTCACTACAGCTTCTTGCTAAAGTTAGCAGACAAGTTCAATCAAGAGTATATAGATGCTGCTTTAGTGGAAGTAAACAGTCGAAAATTTAGAAAATCAATATACCATTCAATCCCTTACATTCATTCATTCATTCAAACAACTTGAGTCTATGCTTTCATTAATTCTGAAACTGCTTACAATTTGTTTGAATCTCATTTTATCCTACATCACTGCTTTATATAATACTAAAATTTTTTTAAATAAAAATTTCATTTAAATTATACATTAATCCATTTATTATTTTTATTTTTTTTAGTCATACATGACAGCAGACTGTATTTAAAAATCCATTTAAAAGCGCATCTTGATTTCATTTCTATTGTGCAATACTAATGTGAAATGCTTATACAATGTTCCATATGAAAGGAAATGCTCCCCAAATATTGCATTCTAATTTTACGGTATTATTAATATTCTCAGATATTAAAGGTTTCATTCTATGATATGAAAAATAAATAAACAAAAAATATTCAGTGAAGAATTATATAGCAACTATTCATCTAAGCCCACCTGATATTTACTATGACCATTTTCTATAACCATTGCCCTTCTTCCAATGTCCACACTAGTGTAACCCTTTTCTTTCCTACACAAACTCTCAACTTTGTAAATGCTCAGAGCTGAACATTTATTATTTCAGGTTATATTCATTTTGGCTCTAAAAATAATTTATAAATTACTTGATGTCAGAATATTTCTTTTAAATATTCACTGGTAGAATGCTGGTCACAGTGAACACAATAACTTATTATTCACTGATTGATTCCAGAAATACTTAATCACTGAACTACCTACTGTTCTAGTCAAGAAATTTAAAACACCATGACAACTCTAAAGATTTCAAAGTTAATCTATTGACATGCTTAAAATGTGTTACACTCTTTGGTCTAGAATGAGACTTGGAAAACCACCACCCATGGTTTTTGTATGATCACGAGGTTGCAACTAGTTTTTTCATGTATATGTAATAAGGAAAAAAAATCAAAATAATATATTCCATAACCTGTGAAAATTATACAAAATTCATATTTTAATGACTATCAATAAAGTTTAAATGGAACACTTGGCCATGCTTGTTTATTTATTACCTTAGGCCACTTCTGTGCTATAATGGAGAGTGGAGCGTGACCATATGATGTGCAAAAGCCTAAGATATTTATTATTTGGCCCAATAATAGAAAAAGTTCATCAATCCCAGGTCTAAAATACAAATATTCTTCAAGCTATAGTCCATTGTATTATATGTTTTATATAGTAAATTCAAGATAAAATATATAAATTCAAATATACACTGTCTAGTTTGTGAACTTGAATACAACATTTTGATATGCTCTTTATCAATAAACTATAAACTGAAGTGTGATGTGCAAGGATACATTCTACCAACAGCTACAAAGTAGTCTGGAGCAAGAGAAACCCTGCTTACAAGCTCCTCTACCCACTGAGACAGATGGTTGATCACTGCTGGTCTATTAGTAAGGAATTGAAAAAATATCCTCAATTAACTAGCTAATGTTGATAATGTAAAATTAACTGTCCTTGACAATGTAAAGTTTACTATCTTTGGAGCTGCCTATATTGTGCAAGCTTAATTTATTTTCCCCAAAATATCATAAAATTCATGATAAACAATTCTTATGTATTCTTGCCCTTCTTCTAATGTCCACACTACAAAAAGAGTTTCCTTACACACAAACTTGTATTTCAATTAAAAACTGAATTCATCACTTGAATAAAGGAAAGAGGTGAGGGATAAGAGGAGCAGGTCTAGCAGGACTCCCAGAGCAGTTAAGAGTGAGGCTATTCATCAAGACAAGAAAGCAAGTTAGTAAGATGACAAATTCTACTGGAACATGTTAAATGTGAGAAGTCTGTGGTCCATCCAAATTGAAATATCCAGTAAGCACTTGGGATTACGAAGCTCTGGGAATCTGAAGCAGCCTGTGCTGAATATAGATTTGGAAGTCATCAGTGAAATGGTGCCTAAAGTCCTACGCGTGGAAGCAACAGCCCCAAGAAAGTGTATAAAGTCAGCAAAGTTGGAAACTAAGATAAGAACACCAATATTTATGCAATGAGCAAAGAAAGAAAAGACCATAAGCAAGATCAGGTAGAATCTGTCAAAAAAAAAAAAAAAGCAGGAGGAAAACCTAGTAATACTGGGATTTTTCCCTAAGACCTTATGGAGAAAGAAAAGTCAAGACGTTTATAAATTTCTGAGGGGCACAAGGCAACCAAAAATACTCCAAATTTCAAATGTAATCAACAAATTAGTCTTGACCTCATGTGAGGGTATATTTATGTATATCTATTCAAATCTACCATAATAGTGATGTACACTGGAAAAGTGCTTTAAATTAGGCAATGAATTCACATAAGTGAAACTGAATTTAACAAAAATCAAATTAAATAGAAAAGTGAGCCATTATGATTTTTGTGACAAAATTATTACAAAATTAAATTGTTTATAAACTGTTTAAATGAAAAGGCACAAATAAAACTGCTAAAATAACAAAGTCAAAAAGGGTTAATTTTCAAATTCAAAAGTTATTTGCATGTGGTAGTTCACAGCTGACAGGAGCAGCTGTCTGGTTTGTCTAGACAGCTGTTCAGATTTGGTGGAGTTGTTTCCAGTATTGCCGACAAGTTTTTCACCTTTTCAAAAACTGCTGGAGTGGGATCTACTTTCAGTCCAGTGAATAATACAAAGAAGTGAACTTGGACCCCTATTAAAACAATTCCTGTCAGATGAGGCAGGCAATAGTTTTACATTTTAGTTACAATTATCTCTTTGATCTTGATAGTGTTTTAGTCATCATTTCTCTGATTTAAAACAAAAAAAAATATTAGGCGATTAATGCTCAGGGTGGATAACCTTGTTCCATGTATTTTAAAATATATACTGCAGAACTACAATATTATGCTTATGCATAATATTTTCAAAATACAAAAGAAGGTAAGAAACTATAACGGTTGGAATTCAGCAAACTAGCTTTCTTTTTTAATTGGTCTTTATTTGGATTTTTGTCCAAGTCATCATATCTAACTAACTAGTGTATTCATCCTATAACTGCAAATTAGCACCCAACACACACATACTTTTTGTTTTTTAAATTCTACTAGGGAAACTTTTTGGCAAATATGAATATACTGCTTATTTCTTGTATCTAACCAAAACTAATGAGGAGTATTTAAATTTATACTTGAAATAAATTGCTATTAAATAATACTAACTTAACCCAGCTCTTATGCTGTTCTGTAGTAGTGGAGGTCTGTTCAAAGACATATCTCTAAGTGTGGCTGGAGATCACTAAAGGTTCCTAAGATCCTGCCATTTGTCTGTGAGAGCAAAACTGCTTTCATAGTATAAACACAGTACCTGCCTTTTCCAGTCTCACTGTCTCAAATGTATAAGGCCACATGATACAGAATACCAACTGAATGCAAATGAGACAAGAAAATCTATTGTCTTCTATTTAGCCAGACTTTAGAGATTTGTAAAAATACAAAGGAAACAAAAAAGAAAGTAAAACAATGTTACTCTTCTCACAAAATATTTTTTGTTTTCAAAAATAAATGTTTATTTGTTCATTAAAATGTTATGACTATGCCGTTACTATGCAAAGGCTCTGGGTTTTTTAAAAATGAATTAATAAATTATTTTTCAAAGTTAGCTTGAATTTTTAATAAAGCAAATATAATAGCTATGGTTAAACATAAGCTAAACTAAAGCTCTTTGGGATACTCAACTTTTAAGAGTGTAAAAAGTCTGAGAAGCTCTAGGATACCAAACCCTTAATAATTCACAATATATTTTGTAAATAAGCAAGAACCTTTTTATGTAATTTATTTAGGCAAATATATTAATGAAAGGATTATAAAGGAGAAAAGCAATTGTCCTGTTCTATTTAAAAATACAAAGGCATTTCCTCTTTTCCATGGCCCTTGCTATCAGAAATGAAGACTAACACTTACTGTGAAGAAAAGTTCCATAACTCTGCTGTCCAGAAGAGTCTCCCGCCAGGACTCTGTTGGCTTCAACAGCACATTTTGTGAGGATTCAAACATAGCTATATAATGTCTGCCCAGTTATCTGGTGTCAAGGTCAACAACAATAACATTCTTACTTTGTCTAAAGTATAAGTATACCATAAATATAACAGGAGCCATCCAGAAAGAATGCAATGGAAACAGTTCAAGCCTCTTCACATATGCCACATAATTCATGCATGAAGCTAAGGAATAAAAGGCATTAAGCGCTGAAAGAAAAAAAAAAAGAATGCTATAGGAATGCAACATACCAGTTTCATAGTAATTATGTGTCATGCTATAGGGATATGCGAACTCTGATAATCAGAGAACTCCATGGTGGCAACAAAAGAAAAAAACACGACTTGCAAACAGAAGCCAAGACACACAAAAAGAAGAATCAATTTCTGCACATTTGTCGCATCATTTCCCCAATATTTTTAACAGTTAACGATATATAGCCCATTTGGAAAAATAAGCAATTTTTCCAAAAGAAATACATTCACTGGGAAATTTAAAAAAAAAAAGGCAAGAATAAACTCATATCATACTTAAGAGGAAAAACACTCCCATATCATAGTACCAAATATTAAGTCCAAACAAAGAACTAATCAGTTGGCATAAAACTTTATACTTATTTAACATCCCCAGACTACACAGAAATTTATAGGCTATTCAGGTATCAAACATGCTTCAAATGGAATACTGTTTTTACTATAAATAAAGCAACATATCTATAAATTTGTAGCTGTTTGTAACTATAATTCACTCAATGAGGCTTTTTAGAAAAATGGGAAAGCTGTTTAGGGATAAAGATAGTATTATGCCCCTTGCATTGCTAATCAATGTCCAGCTCAAATACCTCTAGGAAACATCCACATCATTCAATGAGAAATTTTAACAATAGTTATCTAAGACTACAGTTAGGAAGGAAGGAAGGAAGGAAGGAAGGAAGGAAGGAGAGAGACAGAGAGAGAGAGAGAGAGAGAAGGAAAAAGAAAAAGAAATTAGGTATAAATTCAAACACAATATTTTCACTAAAGCCCAAATCATTATTTTTAGAAGTATTCACAAAGAAAATTAAAGGCTGACAATGACTCAGAAAATATTTTTTGAAGTCAGCTTAACCCCTTTTTAAGAAAGTTAACATTTTCTCTCTGAAAAGTGGGAAGGAACACTGAGTTGCTTCTAAAAAATCACTCCTGAAATGTTCGGCAACTCCATTAACTGGATTAACAAAAATGAAACCCAAATCAGGTTCACGTAAACTTCACTTTTCTCTTCCTTTACTGCCCCCTTGTGGGGGTGCAGGGAAAGAGTCAGAGATCAAAGGTAAGGTTAAACCTGAATTTTAAAGGTGGGATAGGGAACAATGAACACTGAGAGTTATAGTGAGTTAATTTTCTTAGGAGGCACCTGTTTTCACACAATACAATATACTACTTGGATACTAGATCTTTTTCCATGTTGAAAAAATGGTTTAATTATCTCCTACAGAAACTGAAGTATTTATGGGTGAAATTTTTCTGACATCTAGTATTTGCTTCAATATACTCTAGGGCTGGCAGAGTATACAAGAAACAAGACTGGCTGTGAACTTATAGCTGTTGAAATCAGGTATTCTATTTGGAATCTATCTTTGAAATTTTCCATAATAAAGGAAGAAAGGAGCTTTAGTACATAAAATAAATCCTCTGATTCTACTTCATAAAAATGGAAAACTATTCCATTTATACTTCTCCATTTTCATTATCCTTATTTATCAATGTGCCATTTATTTAATTAAAAGGTAACTTTTGGTATATAAATTGTTCAGGAATGAAATTTATTTACTAAGCTATATTAAATACTGTGTAGAGCAAAATTGTGAGAATTATGCCAATCTAGTTTTAGTTCCTAGGAATTTGCAATCTGATATTAAAATGGTATTAAATTGCTTACTTTTTGAATATCCAAATATAACATACAAAATATATGTTCATAATCGCTAAACATCTTCAATGAGGAAAATTTTGAGTTAAAATTCTATGTGCTTATAAAAGGTGTCATGATTTCATTCACTTATTTATTTACTTATGATATGGGTCCTCACTGTCTTACCCAGGCTGGTCTCAGAACTATAGATGTGTACCAAATGGGTTTACACAATCACAATAAAATGGCAGGTTTCAGAGCAAACCCTACACCATTTTAGTGGCTAGCAGACAGCACAAAGCTTCAGGGTAAGAAGGCAAATACTTCATGTGTTGTAACCACAGGAGAAAGCTAAACTCTCCAAGCTCCAGTCAGTTCAAGTATAGGAGAAGTGGGGTGGCAAAAGCAAAGGAACTAATATGTATGGGTTTTGCTACTTTTAGAAATACAGAAAAATTTATTCCACGTGACTCCCGCATTCTAAGCCTGCCAGTGACATTCAGCAAGGAGTGCAACAAAGCTTTTAAGTATGTAAGAGAAGAACACAAAGATTTATTAAAGGAAACTAAACCAAAATGTAGGTTCTTATATAATTCTCTGCCTTTTTTATTCATTATAAAAAGTAAATAATCCACAAATACTTCTGCATCCCAGTTATTCATATTAAGGGGGTCAGAGAGAAGGCTTTTCCAAATATGAAATGGAATTCACTGCAACTTCTCACCTAAAAGTCCTGTTCAAATTCATCAAATCTTACTTCTTTAAATCTTGTCTTCAGGCTCTCCTGATCATGGTCTGTTTTTAAAACACACTATCTTTAATGCCCAATCTGAATGCTTAAAATTGTTTACAAAACTGATGAACAGAATATTAAGATCTGAATTTCTTACATATGGCCAAAAGCATGAGATTTATGAATTTTATGTCTGATACCTATCAGAAAAGACTCTTCTCCTTAATTATTTTAAGGTTCATGTAAGTTTTGTTTTTCACTTTAACTCCAAATCTGGAAAGAATTTTTTCTGGCATGACATTTCCTCTCTATTAAGAAAGTACACTTGAAATGCACCATGTAGAGGCTGCACTTATTTTCGCCAAAAAATCTACACTGAACAACCCTGCAGACCTAACCACCTTCTTTTTATCAGTCAACATAGCGTGCCACTAAGAACACCACTTTTTCATAACAAAAATGTAGAAACAATATAACTTTTATAGCGACATTGAAATGAAAAGCTAAACATTAAAACAATAAAAAGAACAATGTAATGAGCTGGGATTATGGCTCAGTAGTAGAGCACTTGCCTAGCATTGTGTGAGGCACTGGGTTCAATCACCAGCACCACCACATAAACAAACTAAACAAACAAAATAATGGTATTATGTTTTAAAAAAAAAAAAAAAGTAATAATGAATATAACAAATTTAAAGAACTAAGGTAATTCAATTTTTAACTTGGAATTCCCAAATATTCCTGTATACAAGCATTAGAAATCTCAAAAATACCATTCCTTCCCATCGATACATACAACTGTAATGCACCAATAAAAATACCATTTCTTTCCCAGATAATTCTTAATGTAGAATACTTTTTTAAAAACAAAACCACTATCATCAGAATTAAAAAATTTAGCACTTCATTTCTTAGAACATTATTTTCAAAAATTATTTAAAGGTTATCATTTCATTTTTACTAAAACAATAGTTTCCTTTTAAAAAGTTTTATAAGTCTTGGGCTGGGGTTGTGGCTCAGTGGTACAATTCTTGTCTAGCACGTGTGAGGCACTGAGGTCAATCCTAGCATCACACAAAAATAAATAATTAAAATAAAGGTGTGTCCATCTACAATTAAAAATATATTTTTAAAAAAATTGTATAAGTCTTGGCTTATAGACATTACTTTAATATGCTATAATATCTGGATATCATATTTTTATCTTTTTAAAACAAATATGTCACCAATAAAAGAGCAACTGGACAATGAACTATTATAAGTAATATTTTATTACAAATATTATACTTTTTATACAAATATTATACTCAGATTTATCAGATATCACAACATATTGGCATTGATTAAACAGCTATCATTTTACCAAAATTCAAATTAAGGGTAAATTCAGAAAGTTCTTGGGCTATGGTCAAGAAATACATTTATACATTTTTCTAAAGCAAAGACTTAACTCATTTAATATGTATTTTGTATCAGAGAATTCATTTCTTTGTAACAACAAAAACCCACAATTCCACCAATAAGATAGTCAAATAAAATTGTTCTCTTTTAAGAATCCTATTTCTATATCTTTTTAAAAATTTGTCATACACATCCAATCTTTATTTTCCCATGTTTCACTACCATTAAGTTATACAATGGTTTCCAGGAGTTATACAATGGTTTCTTCTTAGCCAGGGTTCCAGCAAGGGATCCAGCTCTGAGGTGTTAAAACTTAACCATTCTTCTAAGCTCAGTGCCACCTTAATCCCCTGGAAAATCAGTTACAGTAACATGCAAATTCTACTGTACCATAAAACAGTGAAGAATTAACTCCCTATTCCCTGCTTCCTCTCCACGAAGACACTATCTAGCTCTAGCTCTAAAATTTTCCATTTAGGAAAGCCCACCAACTTCTGAGAAACACACTTATAAGAAATACACTTATGTCCTATTCTAGAAGTGTATAACCAGAAACAAACACACACTAGGCCAATAGCCAGAAGCACAAGCTTAATGGCACCCTGCTACTGACTATCATTGGATAATCCTATTAAGTCTTTGGTCTCAAGTTCTCCAACACGGACAGTATAATCAGTAGGAGGTTTTGTTTGTTTGTTTTATTGAGTGATATTGGAATTGAACCCAGAGCTTTAGGAAGCAAGAGCTCTACCACTGGGCCATATCTTCAGTCCCACCTCTCTTTTTAATTTTGAGACAGGGTCTTGCTAAGTTGCCCAGACTGGATGAAATTCCAATCCTCCTGCATCAGGTTCCCAAGTAGATGGAATTACATGCATGTGCCACAAGTACATACATCTTACTTTGAAGAGGAGAACTGTAATCTTTGGAAATAACACAGGACTTTATATATGAAAATAAGTTCTTGTTCATTTACTAACACCTTTAGTAAAAATATTTTGTAGTGGTGAC